CTGAGATGCCTGATGAGCGGTTCTCTGCACAGAGGCTCCTTCTTGACTGTGAAGATGCAGCCTGCTGAGCAGGGAGACTCGGCCCTGACCCTGTGTGCCAGCTGTCAGACACAGTGTGCCTCAGCCCCCTCCTTCCTGAGCACAAACCATAAGGGCTCAGCCTCCTCCCACTTCCCAGAGACCCAAACTCAGGAGTTGCCTGTCCTGCTCCTCATCAAAGGGAATGAAGGATTTGGAACCCGAATGGAGATCTGACAGCAGGAGGACAGGAAAGATCCACTGAATTACTACAACAAGGAATTCAGGATGGGAAAAATTTGGGGCTAAGCTTTCTGACATTACAATTATAGTCAAGATTCAACATTTGGGATTGGACTTGAAAGCTTAATCTCAAAGACCGTGAGAAGTAAGTGTTCTACTGGAAGTTTATATAATTTAACATATTGACAATAAACTTCTGGGCTGAGTGTCACTAACACTCATATACAAATCGAAGAGTTGGCCAGCCAGAACAAAGTAACACTAACACAATTTGTAGCTATCAGTCCTTTACAAAAATTTACGATTGTAGGCTGGGAGGGAGGCTCAGTGGTAGAGCGCTTGCCTTGCATGCATGAGGCCCTGGGTTCGATTCCTCAGCACCACGTAAGCAAAAAGAAAAAAGCCGGAAGTGGTGCTGTGGCTCAAGTGGTAGAGCGTTAGCCTTGAGCTGAAAGCTGAGGGACAGTGCCCAGGCCCAGAGTTCAGGCCCCACAACCGACCCCCCAAAAAAAATTATGTAGGATTTTAAGCAAGAATTACTATCAAAATCAATTATCCACAAGCAATTCTCACTATTTGTAATACACCTAAAACTATGTCCAAATGATACTTTATTAATTTTTTGAAAGTCATTGCTTAATGTCCTCTTTTTGCTCAATTTTATAAAATATATCTCACATGAAGTGTTAAAAGGAAGTTCAAAGATCCAAACAGCAGTATCATCTACACTGTAACTTCCTTTGAGGCTTCTAAACTATGTGTGTCAATTTACACTCACATCAGAGGAATAGCAGACTTTCAGTTTGTTCTCTGTTATATTTTCAGTTGTTTCAGTGTTACTTGTCTATTTTTACTGTTTGTTGATTAATTGCATATATGTACATGCTATGGTATGGTAATCTAATACATGTCCTCCCCTGAGTAATTTAAAATAATTTTTGATTAACCTGTTGTAGGTGCACAAATTTGTGGATGTTATTAATAACTATTTCCTGTTCAATATTTTGAAAAGCAAAAGTTCTTAAGAACAAATCTCTCCATTTTACCCTTTTTTAGGTGGTAATCCATATTTGATACTGGTTTAAGACAATACAACTTCCAAATGACCTTGCTTTCCTATATTTCCTTGTAAAAGTTTTGAATTACCACTCTCACTACAACATCCCAAGTTATAGTTGTTAAATCCACAAAAGACAATGGAATTATGAAAGTGATACCCCTACCCCACAGGGTAGATTTACCAAACTAAGAAAGGAACAAGAAAGACATGGAAGGAAAAAGCATACCAAAATGCAGACACCAGATAAACAGTCGAATCACATGTGAGCAGTGTTAATGTTCTTATTAAAAGGCATGGATGTTGCATCTAAGTAGAAGACCACTAGACCATTCATTTGTGTGAATATATGAGGTTTGGAGTTCAATCCACAGCAACTCAAAAAATCAAAACAAGAACAAATAACTGCAACAAATCAAGATGTCTCCTAGAAGAAATTCTATCTTGCAAGTATAAAGAAACAGGATAGAGGGGGCAAGGTGGCTCAGTGGTAGAGTGCTTGCCTTGCATGCCTGAGGCCCTGGGTTTGATTCCTCAGCACCACATAAGGTAAATGAAAAAAGCCAGAAGTAGCGCTGTGGCTCAAGTGGTAGAGCGGTAGCCTTGAGCTGAAGAACTGAGGGACAGCACCCAGGCCCAGAGTTCAGGTCCCACAACTGGACCCCCCCCAAAAAAGAAAGAAACTGGATAAATAAGTAAAGAGACAGGAAAAAGTAGTGTGCTAATACTAATAGCCGAAATCAAGACATTAATATCAATGTTTCAGAATAAATCATATCACTTTAGAATTAAATAATACATTTTATTATTTATGACACATATTATATGTACAATGTCTATTATGTCTGTTTTATGTAAATGTATTTGGGAAGTATATTCACAACTTAAATAATTTCTAGGAATCAGTTAGAAAGAAGACATAATTCAACCTAAAAATTAGCAAAAGTGTTGATAGGATCTTAAAATGGAAGATACACAAGCAGGCAGCTTCCTCTTCATATGACTGCTGCACTTCCTGCGGCAGCCATGGAGAAGCCTTGTTGACTGAGGGAATCCACGGTGCTTCCCTTGTGGGCATCACCAGGGCTCAAAGACAATGACTTGCCCAGGTCACAACACACTGATGACACCTGGCATGTAATCACTCTTGGGATTCTCCATGCTTACCTCAGTATATGAAGGAAGGAAGGACTTTTCTTCTCATTTTAGACGAGAAGGATTGTTTCACACATCACTCATGTTTACAGACAAGAGCTGAGATTGCAAGAGACAATCCTCCAGTCCTCTGGGGCTGTCCTAGGGTGTGGGGGACCCTGGGGACAGCTCCTGGCTCAGGCAGTGGAGTGCCATTCCAGTAATGAGCAGAGCTGATCACCAGGGGGCAGTGTGGGCCCACTGAGCCAGCTGCTGCCTGACTGGGAGAGTGTGGGTTCAGCCTTGGCTTCTTGTCCCAGGCAGGGAAGTGTTTAGATAAACAGAGGGAGTGCTGGCCCAGAGGGGAGAATCCTCCCCCCCCCTTTCTCTCTCTATTTCTCTGTGTCTCTGTCTCCCCACACCACTCTCTCTCTTTCTCAGACCTGTGCCCTCAGTAGGGAGATGATGCCTGGGGCTGCTCCCCTGGACTCTGCCCCAGGCCCCAGGCTCCTCTGTGGTGTTGTCCTGTGTCTCCTGGGAGCAGGTGAGTCAGGGGCACTAGTGGGGCAGAGCCTGGTTGCTGGAGCATCCTATGCCCTCCCGGGCTAGGGCTTCATTGCTGTCTCTCCCTGCCCAGGTGTGGTGCATGCTGAGGTCCTCCAGTCCCCCAAACACCTGATCAAAGCCAAGGGAGGAAAGGCCACTCTGCAGTGCTCTCCTGACTCTGGACATGATACTGTGTACTGGTACCAGCAGGCCGAGGACCAGAGCCTCCAGTTCCTGATTTCGTATTATCGAGAGTCAGAGAGAGATAAAGGAAGCATCCCTGGGCGCTTCTCAGCTCGGCAGTTCAGTGACTATCACTCTGAGCTGAACATGAGCGCCTTGGAGCTGAGGGACTCCGCGCTGTATCTGTGTGCCAGCAACTTGCACAGCCCTGCACAGGGACTGGCTTTCTCTACCCAAACCTTCCTGCCCCAGCTGAGGATGTCACTGAGGGAGGGGTGGGGGGCTGAGGCCCAGCCTTAGCAAACCCCAGGAGCCTTCTCCAGCTGTGGTAACCCTTCTCTGTCCTGCCCAGCTCAGACAGCTTCTGAGCCCTGTATTTCCTAACACTCTGGACTGTCTCTGCTCTGCACTTTAATGCACATTGGATATTATAATGCAAACACAGACATTAGTGTATCCTCTTTATATTCGGGAAATGTTAAGGTATCAGTTCATAGATGGAAAGCTGTAGCTCAGAGAATTTTGTAACGTTTAATATTTAAAAGGATCAGTGCTGGGATAGAAGTGTGCATTCACCACCTCTAACCTGAAGTGCTCCTGAGGCTCTAGAGTGTTTTCTGGTCTGTGCAATAGCAGATAGCACAGCAGTGTCTGTCCACTGCAGGATCAGCTGAGCAGCAACGGTTAAGTCCCATTATGGATTGTGGTTGCTATGAGATAGCTCCTGCCAGTCAACTTTCAGGACAGAGAGCATTTATCCAGAGAATGGGCCCTATGATAAGCTGAAGAAGAGATACACGTTTTCAGCGAATTAAAATTTTAATTCTGTAATGAATTTCAAAATAAATGAGAAATAGATATTTATAGCTGATACTTATACCCAAAGAAATTATTCTTTCAAAATCTATCATAATTGGTAGATTATACCTTATTTTAAAATTGATCCTGGGAACTTTGATAGTCCCTGTACTTTTAACCCGACCCCTCAAGAAAAACGCAAGACTCAACTAGAATCCGATATGTATCCCACAAAATTGAAAAGAATAAGGGCAGGATGTGGAGTAGGGGCAGGACAGGTGAAAATGTTTCAAGGGGTGACCTTGATCACTATAGCGTTTCCTCATAACTGTCTTGTTAAATTAAAAATCCTTTTTGTATTTACATAAAGACAATAATTAAACATACTTATATGTGTATGTACATATGTTCAAAAAAGCAATCTTTCTTTCCATGGCTTGGCCCAACCATGCTCCACAGGCTCCTTTTGTTGGTGTCTCTTGGGCTCTAGGACCAGCTGGGTCTTCCAAGGACAGAGCACTAGGCTCTCATTGAATTCTGTCCACCTGCTGTGTCTAGTCCGATTCTGTATTCCTCCTCACTAGACCAAGAGGGCAGCAATGTCATCAAGAATCAGTTCCCTTGTGTGGTTGCAGGATGGAGAGCTCACAGTGGGTCATGGCCTACCTGGAAAATGATAACAGGTAATGAATGCTACAGGGTAGGGATACATTTTCATGATACAGAAGTTTAGGCTCCATCCATATTATTCTTTTGGTGAATGGGAATCTGTGAATGAAGACAGAGAATGTCGGTATGATTCTGGAAACAGCAGTCATCTATCTTTGCTGGTCAAAATCTCCTTCCTATTAGTAATCAGCTTTCTTATCCTTGGACAGAAAGCTGGGCAAGGAGACATGAGTGATCCTGGGTCCATGGTGGACTGAAACCTTGGAGAATTCATCTCATGAGGACACCTGGAGACCTGAGCCCAGAGGGCTGCTGTCATCAGAATCACTGTGAAGCTAGATGCTGTACCCTTACATTCACACGCTAATACCTAGATGTCTGGTGGCTTTTGAAGGCTGGGATATCTTCTCAGACTGACAGGTAATTATTTACCAATAGGGTAAATAGAAAATACTGAAAAAAGCTACTTATAGGTACTGAGAGCTGAGATGCCTTTGAAAGGCACAGGGCAGCTGTGCGGCTCTGCTGAGTCTGCCAGAACCTTAGGAACAATTGGAACAGTGGAATGAAAGGGACTTTTATCTTAAGGGAATTTAAAGATGACCAGAGGAACAGATGTCCTTCCTAAGATAATGAAAAAACTAAAATAGATAGTTCCAGTTAATAAGAAATTAAAACTGGCACTCACTGTGAACCGTTAAATCGTGTATATACACTACCATTAGTCGTATAAATGCCATAACCCTGTGCATGCACATAACAGAAAGGAGTTGTTTCTGCAGGGAAGGGGCGTGGCAGGTTAGCAGCAGCCCAGGCATTGGTGGGGAGGTGATGCCACTGAGTGACTGAGAAGCAACCTTCTTTTTCCTCCAAAGGAGCCTGGGAGACCTGGGACTCTGCCCTGCTCCTGAGATGGGCACCCAGCTCCTGCACGTGGCCTTCTGTCTCCTGTGGGTAGGTGAGGGATGGCTACAGGTGGGCCCCTCACTGCCTCCCACTCCAGGGCATCCCTGGCTTCTCCTTGACAGGCCCCTTCAGACTTGGGTCATTCTCTATTACAGGACACATGGAGGCTGCCATCACCCAACGTCCAAGACACAAGCTCACAGAGACAGGAAGACAGGTGAATTTGAGCTGTCACCAGACTGACAACCATGCCTCCATGTACTGGTATCGACAAGACCCTGGACATGGGCTGAGGCTACTCCATTATTAAAATGCAGAAAGAAGCACTGCAAAAGGAGACATCCCCAACGGGTACAGCGTGTCCAGACCACGCACGGAGGACTTCTCCCTCACTGTGGACTCAGCCACCTCCTCCCACACAGCTGTGTGTGCCAGCAGTGTCTCCACAGTGCTGTGCAGCTGCCTCCTCTCTGCACAGAAAGTGTGAGGGGAGACAGAGGGCATCTGCACGCCCCTTTGAAGTCTCCAGTCTGAACAGCAGTGTGTGCCAACTCGTTCCTTCTCAGCCCCTATCAGACCAGAGCTTGGGGGCCACAGGTTACAGATGTCCTTGCTTAAACATGTGTGCACCCTGGTGGTGCGATTACTTGTTCTGGATGACAGTAGTCATTGAATTATCATTGAATCAAATTGATCTTTAACAGTGTCAGGAAGATGTTGGTGGCAAACTGGGATTTCTGAATGGAAGAGATACAACAGAGTTATCACTAGCCTTTAGGATTTGTTTTTTTTGTGTTAGTGAGTTTCTCATGACTATGATAGTAAGCCAAACGAGAAAATGCTAATTTATTTGCTACACAATCTTTAGCATTTTAGTCAGTGTTCACTGGGCTGTGTTGTTTCCACTAGACAAGTTGGGCATCATGGTGGGGAGAACATAACATAGCAGAGTTGATTGCTCCAGAGCAGCCTGGCAGCAGAGATGGAGGGAGCAAAAAGGAGGGACAGAAAGAACATAGACAGCAAGCAAGAAATGAAGGAAAGAAAAAAAAAGAAAAAAGAATGGAAGGAAGGAACAAACGAAGGATGGAAGGAAGGAAGAGGAAAGGAAGGAAGAAAGAAAGGACAGGCACAAGGAAGGAAATGGAAAGGAAGGAGTACTAGACAAATACATGTACAGAAGACAGAGAGAGGGAGAGAGAGACAGAGACTGAGAGAGACAGCACTAGCAAGCACATGATTTGGGATATGTCCAAGTGAGCAACTTCCTCCAACTAGGTTCCCAATTGTCATCTTCTTATTTTTCTCCATCCCTCACTAGTTCATTCAGATCAGAAACCATGAGTACAATGATCCATGAAGGAAACTGGAGCCCCAGTGATGGGACCCCAATATCCTGCTTCTGATCACTGCCTGCACACAGGACCACATTCCTGAGTGCTGATGCAACACTGTACCGTACCTCTAAACCATAACAACATTTCCGAGCTGTTTTCGTTCTGTAGCATTGCTCACCTACTCTAATAAATTTGGCAGAGAATTGTTATCACTAGATAACTAAAAGACAGCCCATGAGAACCTGGAGAAAGAGAAAGGCTCAAAGGGATAGGTAGTTACATGGCAGAGGGAAGCTCACTAGCTGATAGCTTGATTTTCAGTTGCTTTGGTAGAGGCGAGAGGAAACATCCAGGAGATCTGGAAATGTGGAGGGAGCCTCAACTCCTAAAGTGTTGGAACAGTTCGTGCCTTTCCACAGGCTATGACTGTGCACAGCCTCAAGAGCTCTGTGGGCTTGCAGCTATTGGACAGGAAGACAGAGGCCTCCGTGGAGATGTCACATAGCATCACGGTAGGGGCTGCTGGGTGGGGACACAGAAGCTCCTCCTCTGCTGCATTCCCCAGGACAGAGAGCTGGGAGCACCTCCTGCACTGCCTCACCATGGGCACCAGCCTGCCAGCCTGCGTGTCCCTGTGTCTCCTTTGGATGGGTGAGTTCTTGTCACATCTCCCCCAAGGTCATCTCCACTGTTTCCACCCCGATTCTTTATCTTTCATCCACAGCACTCACAGAAGTTGGGGTCACTCAGTCTCCCACATACAAGGTCACCGAGAAAAGCCAAGCTGTGTCTCTTTGGTGTGATCTAGTTTCTGATCACAATGTCCTCTTCTGGTACAGGCAGACCCCGGGACAGGGCCCAGAGAGGCTGCTTCCTTTTCAGAACAAGGCTATGAGTGAGGACGCCCAGTTGCCCAAAGATCGGTTTTCTGCACAGAGGCCTGAAGGTGCAGACTCCACCCTGAAGATTCAGCTGCACAGCTGGAGGACTCAGCGGTGTATCTCTGTGCCAGCAGCTTAGACACAGCCAGGCAGGGACCGTTTCCTGCTGTGCACAAAGCTCTGTGCTTCTCTGCCTCTGTGCAGCTCAGAGCTGCCCTGCACAGCGCCTGCGCTTTCCTCACCATCTGAGGAAGGAGGAGGAGGCCCGTCTTCAGATGCAGGCTTCACTCATGTCAGGAGAGGGCAGGCATTGCTTCTTGAGACATGAGTGCTGCAAAGGTGTGAATAGGATATCTGAGGGACTGGAAGCAATCAAGAACCCCAAAGTGACAGTCCCTCAGGAGAGACCTGGGTGTCCCAGAGCCCAGATGTACCTTGTTCATAAACCATGCACTTCCAAAACACACACAGCCAACTCAGTACCATAGAGGGGGTTGGTATGCTCCTACCAAGTTAACTAGGTATTTTACTGTTTCCCTGTGTCTCCTGAGTGACTGAATGTGAGCCTTGCTGGCATCCTTGGCATTAGCTTCTTGGTCTAGCTTCCTATCTTTCTTTCCATGTGGATTTTCCTTTATTTCCTGCATTATTTTATAGATTTTTCACCCTCTGTTCATATGGAAATACCTTAATAATAATGATGTTGTTTTGCTAATGATGATGATGATGATAGTCATTTATGTATTTTTGCCAGCAACTTCACAACTGCAGATAAATGCACACCTTAAATCGAAGTCTTGATTCAAACCAAATACTGCTTTTACTAGAGCACTCTTAAGTTTTTTCATTGGGACCCTCCCAGTTCTGCACTGTTTTAAGGTTGGGTCAGATGGTGGAGAGGGAACAGTGCATTATTGAAAAGTCATTGACTGGGAATGTTCTGAAGGTGTTCTCTCTCTCCCCAGCCCATCCGGGCATCTCTTCCCTCTTCATCTAGCCTACCTGCAGGCAAGATAGCTCTTGTCAATAACTGATCCTTATCTAATAAACTTGTCTGACAAAAAACCAGTCATGGGATGGATCAACATGATCATTAACAATGTCTTTAGCAGGATTATTACTTGGTTCCGTTCCCAACCTCCTATGTCATTTCTCATAGTTACTGAGTCCCTCATGGTATAATTTCTAGATCTTCTTTAGTGTCTTTATACATAAAAATAAGATATTTAGGGAAGAGTTTGCCTTATTATTTTCACCTCTGAAGGCTGTGGGCAATTGCCTTTTCTTCCTCCTTCTCTTAGGGCCAGTGCACGAATGGGGGAGAAGTCAGAGGTCTCTGAAGGCTGATGGCAGCCAGCCTTAGGGTTTCCAGTGCGAAACACTGGTGAAATATGCAGGTGTGGATGAGGAGTGAGGAGAGGGTCCAGAGACCCCGTGTGAGCCCTGGGCAGCAGTAGTGTGGGATGCGGAGGGGCTCCACCAGGCAGACCTCGCTCTGAATCAGCTGTGTTGAAATCAACTTCTGAGGAGCCATGATTTCTGCGTTCTAAGCCTCGCCATTTTCTCTCTTACTGAGTGTGATCTTAACTCACAGTAATGTTTGTTCCTTCTTCCTGGCTCCTGATAGAAGGTGCATCTCAGGGCTGCTGGCATCTTTGACTTCATTAATATCAAGTTACTCCAGGGCTCAGTGATGTCACTGTAGCACCTCCCAGTGGGACAAGGGCTGTCCTCCTCTCCCATGGCTACTTACAAAAGACTGTGATAGGGTGACTTCCTCCTCCTCCTCCTCCTCCGCCTCCTCCTTCTCCTCTTCTTCCTCCTCCTCCTCCTCCTCCTCCTCCTCCTCCTCCTTCTCCTCTTCTTCCTCCTCCTCCTTCTCCTCCTCCTCCTCTTCTTCCTCTACCTCCTTTCCTTCTACCATGAGCACCAGGCTCCTCTGCTGGGTGGTCCTCTGCCTCCTTGGCACTGGTAAGTCATCAAGTAGCACTAAGCAAGCAGTCCTGTTGGGAGTGTGTGTGTGTGTGTGTGTGTGTGTGTGTGTATACGCGCTTGTGTGTAATGATTTGAAAAAGAATGTCCTTCTGTATTCCAAGGTCATACCGAATCTGGGGTCTCCCAGTCTCCCCGACACAGAGTCACAAAGAGGGGACACACTGTGCTACTCAGGTGTGACCCCATTTCTGGACACCAGCGACTTTATTGGTGTAGACAGACCCCGGGTCAAGGCCTAGAATACCTGACTCACTTCCAGTATGAAGTTGCTGCAGAAAAACCTGAGATGCCTGTTGAGCGG